CTGTTCTGCAGCAAGGAAGGAAAAAGCAGAGGTGAAGCAAGTTGTGCAAGGCCAGCTTGGGTTGGAAACAAGAACAGAGTCCAGCTAGTGACTGCACTGAGTGCAGCACATGTTTGCCCAGGACTGTCCTCTTCATGAAGCCGGTTTACCTAAGTCTAAACCATCCCACACTGCCATAGACAGAGTAGCACAGCCCAGATTTCATTTTCTGTTCAGCACCTCATCTTTCTGTGGCCCTACACAGATTCTGGGTCACAAATACTCAGGTGGGTCACTAATCAAAAGCATTTGCCCAGGGCCTTTGCCTGCTGCTTTCACCATCTGGCCCAAGCCACTGGTTGTGGGCACCCAGCTCCAAAGGGAATGGCAGCCCCTGCCACATCCATAGCATTCCTTGGATTCCCTTCAAAACCTGCCTGCTCATACCAAGGTGAAAGGTGCAGAGTGACTGAACAGGACAAGGATGCTGCACCCTGAGCCTGCCATGGAGGGCAAGTCCCAGGCCTCAAAGGTGACATTTGCCCAGAAAGCCACAAAGAGATGGGAGGGATTAGGCCCAGGCAGCACAGTCTGGCCTCTTTGCTCATGGCCTGTGTGCAGGAATATTTGCACAGGCTTACCTAAGAAGGCAGCCCCTCTGGGAGATCATTTGGATAAACTAAGCTCATTTCCACTGTAAGTATGGAAAGGAAAGGAAAATATGGAAAGGAGCTCTATTGGCTAGTATTTGGGATTGCAGGAGAGTCACTGGTTAATGGACACAAACCTAAGTCACAGCTTAAGTCACAAACCTCCAGCTCCCAGGCCTTCAGAGCAAAGGTACCTCACTCTCAGGAGCTCCATAGCCTCCTGCTTCAGTTGGAGGATAAATATCCTGGAGCAAGGAGGAACAGCTGCCAGTTCCCTGCAGCTCCATCCACCTGAAAACTTGCTGAGGTTAATGCCAGACTTGGAGACCACCCTGTGGAGTCCTGCCATAGAGATTTCCCCACCTAACTGTAACCATTGAACATGGATCCTTCCTTTTGCTCCTCCTGGATTTGGTCCAGCAGTCAGCTGCTGAGGATCTTTCTTTGGAAGGGGGCATTAGAATCATAGTCCCAGGAAAGGGCAAGGGCTGGGTTTTGTCTCTGGGTCCTTCTGAGGGAAGAATGCCCATACAGGAGTTTTGGTTGACCCTTAGGAGGTGGGATTTAGTACCACCTTTGCTCCCTCTCCCCTGAGCTACCCTGCTAGCCAGTGGAGGTCATTCCAGGGAGTGGATGTTTGTTTGCAGGGAGTGTTACTGGCCTTTTGCTCAGGCTTTGCATGTGTGTGGCAGCTGAGAGCCGGCTGTAGTGCAGCCACAGAGCAATGCGTGCCCAAGTGTTCCATCTAGTGGTGCCTGGCCATACAGTGCCAAAGCAGCCTGGGAGCCCCACTGCCAGCCCACCCTGGCCACCAGGGCCAGCTCAGTGACCCCAGCCTGACCACTGTCTGAAAATCCTTCCTCCTCTGAAGCGGGACTGCCTCCTGCCTGGAATGACGCTCAGTTGTGATGGGAAGGGGACTTTGAGAAAATATTTTCAGGCCACCTCGTGACTGACTCATTTCATCCTGCGGTGTTTGTGTGCAGAGTAGCTGAACACACAGATGTCTGTGCCTCAGCAGTGCACAAACTGGAGACACTAAGGATCCTCACCCGTTGTATGGAGAGCTTCTCCTGCTTGCTGTGCTCTCAGTTCCCAGTAAACAGCAGCAAGAATTGCAAGCCCTAGGCCAGAGACTTGCTTTGGTATATGTCTTTCCACTAAATCCTGGCAGAAATTAGGGTCTCCAGCATGTGTGCAGCACTGCTGTTCCTGGAGTAACCAAACCCCGGGAGCCTCCTTTTCTTTGTCAGGGAAATAGGTGTCAGTGTTTTTGCAAAATGGCTGTGTGCTCTGTGCTCAGACACTGAGTAAATTGAGAGCATCTTAGGTGTGAATGCTTCCTTGATGCCTCTGCGTGCAAGGCACTTGTTTGGTGCAGTTCAAGGTGTTTCAGGCTAGGCACGAGGAGCACATCAGAGACATGGCTGCAGCTTTTTTGACTCAGAGGTTTTAAAGAACATCTGTAGGTATCAGCTGGGTATCAGAACAGGTGCACCAAATCAGAGATCTCTTTTATTAATGTTCATTCAACAAAGATATCCTCGTGCAGCCTGATGGGCTACTTGGGTTATCTACGAGGGGGGGAGTTCCAGTATTTTCTCTGTTTCCTCCCTTCTTTGTCAGCTGTTGCTGACCTGACCTTGCTCCTCAGGAACTTCAGCCATATCCTCTTGTCATCACCCATATGAGCAGGGTGATGCTGGTAACAACCACTGTGGCAATGCTTCCCCTCCAACAGGCTGAGCTCATCGGGAGCTTGACCCACAAGCTGGAAATCCTGAAGGAAGCCAAGGAGGGCCTGCTCACAGACATTAAGATGAATAATGCTCTGGGAGAGGAGGTGGAGCTGTTGATCAGCACGCTGTGCAAACCCAACGAGTTTGACAAGTACAAGATGTTCATTGGCGATCTGGATAAGGTGGTGAACCTCCTGCTCTCCCTCTCGGGACGCCTGGCCCGCGTGGAGAACGTCCTGAGCAGCCTGGGGGACAATGGCGACAGCGAGGAGCGGGTAGGTATGGTATGGGCACAGCCCTGGCCTGCTGGGGCGTGGGGCACAGCCACCACCGGCACGGCTTCACAGCGACCTCCAGGGGCTGCCAGGAGGGAGCACTGCGCTCCTGGTGCTCGGGTACCAGCAGGAGCTCGGACATTGTCCCTGGCAAGCTTAATCCCCGTTTGTATAAACGGCTGGGATCTTGCAGCCTTTGTCTGGACACAGAGTAGCTGCGTTGCTGTGAGACAGCCACATTTTAACGTTTTTGGGGTGGTTTTGAAACCAGATTTTCCTGGTAGTTGTTGCATTCAGGCGAAGTTCCCTGACTTGATGGGAGCAGTTTCTGCCTCCCATTGCAAGGACGTTCAGCGTCCAGTTGAGCGGGGCTCACACTCACTCCGCACTGAGGAATTCCTCCTCCTCTCCCAGGTTTTGAGTGCCCCTGTGGGAGCTTAGCAGCCATGCCCAGAGGCGGCAGGCGTGGTGCTGGGAGGCAGGCACGGGGCTCAGGGCCTGTGGTACTGAAGGGCTGTCTCTGGTGTGCAGAGTTCCCTCAACGAGAAGCGCAAGCTGCTGGCTGGCCAGCACGAGGACGCCCGCGAGCTAAAGGAAAACCTGGACCGTCGGGAACGGCTGGTCCTGGACATCCTGGGCAACTACCTGTCTGAGGAGCAGCTCCAGGACTACCAGCACTTTGTCAAGATGAAGTCTGCGCTCCTCATCGAGCAGCGAGAGCTCGACGACAAAATCAAACTGGGCCAGGAGCAGCTCAAGTGCCTGATGGAAAGTCTCCCCCCAGACTTCCGGCCCAGGGATGCAGCAGCAGCAGCCGCCCTGGCTGCAGCACTCGCTACCTCCTCCGGGGGCGGTGGGAAAACACCTCCAGCAGCCTCTTCCTCACTCTAACCTGGCCCAGGTGGAGCTGGGTACAGCCCTGCCCCAGTTCCTTTAATCCCGGGGCTTGGCAGATGGTCCTCTTCAAAGACAATGGACAGAGACAGGTCTAAACCGAGATTTTAATGAAGGAAAAAAAAAATAGCAATAATAAAGGTTTTATTTTCCTTTCCTTCCACCTCTGCTTCCTGGAAACTTAAATCCATGTGGAGGGAAATCTCCTCCTGCCAGAGATGAGGAAGAATCTCACAGGAATTAAACACGTGACGTTTAATAAAAAACATGACCTCCTCTCTTCCCTCCCTTTTCTGCCTACCTGACACCTCATTAAATAATGAAGGATCTAAGAATGAAGCCTTAAAAATAAAACCAACCCATTTTACTGAACATTATTGATATTTATATTTTTTAAAAAACAAGACAGAATGTCTAAGTTTTTGTACATAGTCTAATCAGTTACTTGATTCTACTTTGTTCTGTATGTAGAAAAGACATTTAATTTTGTATTTTGTGAAGACCTTAACAAAAAGAGGGAACCCCAAAGATAGTCATGCAGTAGCTTGAAACATCTCATCGTGGTTTTGTTGCTGTTGTTGTGGTTGTTTTTTAATATAATAAAGGGCTACCAGAAGCAGCTTCATCCTGTTTCAACACATGCTGAAGATACCATTAAGTGGCCTTACAAAGGAAATTTTGACCATGAAAATAGCAAATTTTTCCTTTTCTGGATCCTATGAGCTGAGTCTGGAGTTCGAACATCTTCTATGGCAACCTGCATCTCAGGAGTCCAAGTTAGCATGAAGCAAGGAATTCACTGTAGGAATGTGGGGGAAATTCTGTCTTTATTTTGAATACTCACAGTGTGGTCTGTGCTTTTGATGCAGCCTGAAAGATTTCCCTCAGGTATGACAAGGATGTCTACTGACATGATTTATAGGTCCCTCTTTGAGTAGAGTTTCAGAGAAACAGCGGGGGGAGCTGTTTCAATCCAATCGACACATTTCATTTGCCCTAAAAAAATAAAATCCTATTCACTGGTGCTGTTTTAATTTGTTAGATTTTAAAACACTGGTAATTCAGATCTTTTTTTGCAGCCATCCTTCCATCTTATACTTACCAAAACAACTCACAAAGACATGGTAGATAGGGGAGGTGTTTGTGTATTTTCCATTTAGTGAGTTCTTTCCTGAAAAATACAAGTCCTGCCATTTATCCCCAGGTCAGGAAGAGGCTCCATCCAAACAGGATCTGCCTGTTTACTCCAGGAACCCACATGGCTTCAGGGGGAGCACCTCCAGCAAGTTTGGGGTGGATAAGGCAAGTCCTGTGTGTGTTCCCACAGTACACAGAAACATCAGGTAATGAGGCAAGTGATAGTCATTGATATTTTAATAACAGCTTATATTTTCAAGTGAGAAATTACTTAAAGCCACAGTTTTTGTGATAAGTGTAGAAAAACTCTCTTTGCACAGTTTTGTTTGAAAATTGCAGAGTTTACTGAGTTTAGTAGAAGTACACCTTGATATGTATTTAAAGGTAATGAGACATCAGGCAAGGCTGAAGATTTACTTCTCAGGCAACAAGATTTACTTTTTTTACCTCTGGCAAAAAGGGGAGTGCGTTCATTGCTCTTTATCCCACCGTGCTTTTCTCCTGTGGCTATGAAACTAGAGGATAATGGAAACCCAGAAATTCCCAGACTGATTACATGATTTCATGGGACAGGAATATCAGGCATAGAATTTTACACTTACTGTATATTTACTGACACAAATCTGCATTTTGGGTCTGGCTCCATGAGATTTTTAAAACGGAACCTGTATTGCAGTGGCTGCAGTAGAGAAAGTCAAATACAGTGAGCATGGTCTGCTGTGCTACCCCTTCCCCAAAACACATGTCAGGGAAGGGGTTTTCATTTTTGCTCAAAATGAGCCTTATTTTTATAACAGAAACGTCTGGCTTGGATATTGGTGAGGAATGCCCTACATGCCACCTTGGCACAGGGATGTTTGCCAGCCTGGGTGGCCTCTGTTTGTAGGTAACAATGGGTGGGGCTCCTTCCCAAGGAGTCCCAGCTCCTTCAGTTTGTGGTCCCTGGGTGAAGCACCTTGTCCAGAGCTGTCTCCAGGTAAGTCACGCACTGTTGAAGGACCATGTGACAGCCACCTTCAGCTGGCTACAGGCACAGTGGGAAAACATGGATCTCCCTTCGGTGACTTGAGGAAAACCCTGGTAAGGACAAAGCAGTTACACTTGTGACACGTGGTGCCAGTTCTAAGTAAAATCTCCTTCTACAAAATCAATACCATTATGTTACATTTGCACATTAGTTAGGAACAGCCTTTTTCCTGGGTCAGCATCCCTGAAATGATTATCTCCAGTCAAAGCAGGCCAGCTCTCAGTAAGGCCTCACGTGCTTTTAGCAGCATGCATGTGATACAAATGCCAGGAAAATCTACTCATCCAACTTAAAATTGGCCTCTTTCTATCAGAGCCCTTGGGCAACTGACAGTCACAAGGAATTCACATCAGATGCTCTCCTCAAGACTAAACCTAGTAGGAAGTGTTTACATACCAGGGTCTCTTGGTTGTAAGTTTGCACACAAGACGTTTTGTCAGGGTTGCCTATAAAATTGGTCAAAGCCAGAGCAGCACAACAGTTCATGTGTCAGTTTATCCATCATCTTCACAACTCAGCTGCTGTCGTGATTGTTTAGGCTAATAATTAAGAGAAGCAAGTAAAGCAGACAGGATAGCACTCCATACTCACTCCACATAAATCCTGTCCTTTGCAAAACAGGGAACAGAACAAGCTTTTTTCATCAAGACCTCCTGCTTTAAATCAGTGTGAGCAAACTGAGACCCCATCCCAGGTTTCCCTGTGCCTCGTGGAGCCCGTGCCCAAGGCAGTGTTGAGACAGGAGCTGTTTATCCCCGTGCAGAGGGGCTGTGTCCTGGCTGTGGCCAGTGTCAGGCTTGGCTGGGTGCCCACAGGAGCGCTGCCCGTGCCTCAGCACACCAGCCAGGCCTTGTGCAGCTCTGCTGCGTTACGGGGCTTTGCTGTCCGTGTGTTACTGAACAAGCAGCCTTTGTGTTGTGCAACTGCGTGTGTGTCTGTGGCCAGCCTTTGTGCAGCCTGCCGTGCCTCCGTGCCAAAAACCATTGCAGAAATCTGCCTGCTTCTTGCCCGTTTCAAGATGTCGGGGAGATGGAGCCAGCCAGGCTCAGCTCTCTCAGAGAGAGGTGTCAGTGTGGCTCTGCCTGCTTTGGGATTGGCAAACAGGGCTTGTTTTCCCCTATACCATACAGGAAACAGGGCACATGTGAGCCAGGCAGATTTTGGCCCCGTGGTTTGCAGCCTGAGGCTATGGCTGCACCGAGAAGCGGGGCGACTTCAAGTGAGAAAATCCAGACATACTTTTGAAATTCTTCATTATACCACTAAATGAACTTAGAGAACCAAAACACAAAAGAAAAAAAAGAAGAAAAAAAAAAGGACATAATTCAGCTGGGGAGTGTAAAAGCTGATGAAAGCATGAGGGAACATGTGGGAAACTGCTCACGAGGTACTTGGGCTTTTACTGAGGTAAAATAAAACTGATTAAACAAAAACAACAACAAAAACCCCCAAACAAAAATAGAAGGAAGAACGAAAAAAAAAGCTAAGCAAGGAAGAAACTGGGATATGAGAAGCTGTGAAGGGAGGTTTTGGCAGACAAAGGGGGCCCTCAGTAGAAGTTTCTCGTGGCTCTTCACGCGCGATTTTTGGCGGGAACCATTTTACCTCACAAAGGGGCCCCCGCCGCCATCTTAGGGGGCTGCACTTGGTGAGGGGCTCTGGACTCCCAGCCCTCACCAACACCTCTAAAACCCCCCAAAACCTCCAAAACCCCCCAAAAGCGCAGCAGGGCTCCCTGGCCGCCCTCCTGCTGTGTTCTGAGGGCCAACACCTGTGTGACAAACAGGGCTAACGAGGGACAGCTGGGCCGGGGCAGCCGGCCCGGACAGACCCTGAGGCAGCACAGGAGGACGCACAGCTCAGCATGAAGCCTGCTCAGAAAAGGTGAGTAAAACTAAATTTTTTATGCTTTTTTTTTTCTCCCCTTCATGGGGAAGATTGTCATACAGCTAGATTGGAGGTTCAAGGGGGAAAAACATGGCTGTGGTTTGGAAAGGAGGAGTGTCAGGTGTTCGGTTTCTGAAGTGTACTGGCCTGTGGGCATGGGAGGGTGCCCACACCATGGGGGTCTCAGCCTGGACAGGTGCAGGCTTTGTATCCATCTGACCCCAGGAATATCCCATCCCAGGATATCCCCATTTCCTGGGAAAGGGGAATGGTGTGGTTATGGTCTCCTATGTGCTGCCCCAGAGCACTTTTGAGGGAACACAGCAAGAGGTTTGAGGCTGACATTGTGAAGTGAGTGCTGAAGTGTCCTTTGGTGTGGACATGTTGGAGCCGGGGCTGGGGGAGTGCTGAGGGAGGAACATAGCAGTCACCTCCCACAGAGCCTCCTCGTTTTGTACACAGGTTGTTGGTTAATTTCGTTTGTGTATTGTTTGGAAGAAATTGGCAGGCATCGTTTTGTTTGTAAATTCCACGGCGCGCAGCCTAGGGCTGCCCCTCAGCTCCCCTAGCACCCAGTTCCTGGGTGCACAGTGTCCTCCCACTGTCTTCTGAGGCTGTGACAATCAGGGCCAAACACAGGCTCGTGTAGCCACGCTTGGATGGCCTATTTCTGTCCAGTGAAGTTAATGTGAACTGCTCAGGGAGAGGTTATTTTCTCAGAAGACAAAGCTGCTGGTCTGTCTTAGCTCTCACTGCTGTTCTAAACTGGGCATGAGATTTTAATTCCTGACAAACTCGTGTATTTTTTTATAATTGGTTATTTGCTCTCATCTTCTAAGGTATGAGTTGAAAGCACCCATCACTTAATTTGTGTTGATAAAAATCACTTGGGTTAGAAATGACCCTTAAGATCAAGTGCAGTTGTGACCCTAACACCACTAAGTCCACCACTGTGCCCCCAAGTGTCCCATCTCCACCTTCTCTGAATACCTATAGGCATGGTGACTCCACCACTTCCCTGGGCAGCCTGCTCCACTCAAAATACTTCTTCTCACACCCAACTAAGAGTCCATGTAATACCACATGCTGTTTTGTAGGGGGTTTGAGGTCTCATTTTCCCTGGCCGGGATGCTGTAAAGAAATAAAATAGTGATTGTACACTGTGCAGAATTTAAATTCAAAAAAAGAAAAAAATACCTGCAGCCTTTGGCCAAGTTGTGGTGCTTTCTGCTCCTCCCCACAGCAAGCAGGGCTCGGGGTTCTCACAGAAATCATGATAAGAGTTCCCTTTGTGGTTCAGTAGAGCATGCTTGGCAGGGACAAGCATCACTTTCCCATTCACTGTGACCCTCTCCTCTGCAGCAGGCCATGGAGTTCTGGCTTTCTCAATGGCTCTAGGAAGGGACAAAGCCTTGTCACCACTCCACGAGCCAGCCAGGGCACTCTGCATTTACTGGTGTCACTTAGAGGAACAGGATTATTTATAGCTCCAGGACATGCGAGAAAAGGCTCAAGCAGCAGGAAATGCTGGCAAAGGGATGCTTCCTTCCTACCCTTTCTCCCGTTTTATGGTCTCCTGAGTGGTAACTGCCAGTGCTAAAAAGCAGGATAAAGCTAATTAATTCTTGTGGGAAGTCCAGGAGGAGGGAGGGGGCCCCCAGGAAGGCACTGTTTGTGCCACAGTCAGGAACACTTGTGGCTAACCCGCCTGGCAATCGGGACTGCCAGCTTAAGGACAAAAAAATGGGATTAGCTTTATTCTTGAGTGTTCTGAGACACACAGACTTCACCTGACCAGGGCAGCCTGGAACAGACACACACACAGCTCTAAGCTCTTCTACAAGCTACATCAGGGCCTTGTATTTTTCAGTGTCACACACCTGATTCAACTTACCTTCCATCAGATTATGTGGCAGAGGGAGAAACAAGACAAAAATTGTTCTCTTTTCCCCAACTCCTCACCCCAAATTCCCTGCCAAACACAAAAATGCCAAGTCTCACTTGACAAGGCAAAGCACCAGTGAGACTTGTCTTTAGCTTTCCCTAATAAACAGACCCAAGCCTCTAAACACTTACCTTCCTGTCCCATGAGTGATGGGGTAGCTGCAGGACAGGAACGAATCCCTGTTATCCATGCCCCTGCCCTGCAGGGCTCCTGCCTCTCCCCTGGGTGTGCCCAGCTCCAAGCAGCTCTGTGGTGCAGGGTGGGACAGTGCTGGTGACATGCAGGCAGCCTGTCAGCCTCCCCATAAAGATACTCCACAGAGAGATATTGCCCTGCCCAAGCAGCTGCTCAGCTGTTCAAGCAGCAGCTGTGCCGAGATTAGCCAACAGGAATCACATTCCAGCACCCGAGCAGCGTTGGGCTAAAAACACATCACCTGCACAAGCTGTTACTGACTGAGCCACCCTGTCCAGGCTCCCAGTTCCACACAGCGTGCAGGACTTAGTTTCCATCGGGTCCTCAAATGCCACAGCAGTCCCAGCTCAGTGTTGGGTTAGCGTGACCAGCAGGCTGTGGGCAAAGAGCAGCAGCAGACACACTCCAAGGCATTGCACGAGCACAGAGGTTGTAAGCACAAGAGGCTCTTTAGGAAGCGTTTTTCCTTCCTCATCTGCCTAACTGCAGTTAGTTGTGCTCCGTGCACTCAGGATTAAATGCCCCTGGTCACTCTGTTGGGTACAGCCCTTTAGCAGGGAAGCCTTCCAGACACTGACCCACAGACTGCCACAGGATTTGTCATGCATACCTGATGTGTTGCTCAGCCCCTGACTTCACTTCATGGTACCTGATTCTCTGGGAGCGTCAACACCTCAAGTCTCAAGCACCAGGGACAGCCTGCATTCTCTCAAGTCAGTCCTAAGCTTTGGTCAGGCTTCCCCTTGCCTCGCACATCTTTTCCCCAGCAAGTGCAGGCAGCCCAGCCTGCCTACTCTCCACTGCTCCTCATGTACACCAGTGCCAGCCTGCAATGCACACAACTGCCGAGCAGGTTCTGGGAAAGCAAAGCTCTTGGCAGGAGCAGAAGCCATGCCCTGTGTGGCCTGTCAGCCCCCCAGCCCCAGCAGGGAGCAGCATTTCATGGTCAGATGGCACAAGGGACACCCAACATACACTTGCTCCTGGCTGGGACTAGTCCTACACTTGAGAAACCAGACAGGGAGCACTCAGTGTAGCCAGCAGGGTGAATGGAGCAACTACTGCTAAGGCAGCTTCGCTCACAGTCAGTCAGGCTTTGCCAGGCTCGTGTCTAGCTCAGTAGTAGCTGCAAGGCTGGAGTGTGAGGAGGAAAGTGGCTGGATGCACAATCCCCTCCCTGCCCACCCCCGTAGCACACACAGGAGCAAGCAGATTAGAGCAGGAAACAGCAGAGGAAGCAGCCATTGCAAATTTTGGTTTATTTCACTGCACAGGGGGCAGAAAACAAAACAAACCAAGCTAGAGCTGTTAGCTGAACTTAATGGCTTTGACTTTGAAGTCACCCTCCACCGCCAGGTATTCAATTTTCTCCATGCCCAGCCGATTTGGGAACTTGAACTCTGCCTCGGGCAGCTTCACCGTTGCCTCGGTTTCATCGAAGGAGATGCACATCTGTAGAGATCCATGAGAGAGAAGGAAGGAATGAAGGCTGGCACATCACAGCTCCCAGGCTTTGCTCCCTCCCCACTACTTCCAGTCTGTGTGCAGGACAGGCGAGGTGGCTGCTGCTGCTCAGCAGCTCAGGCATCTCTCTGCCCATCAGAGGCAAAGAAGGGGAGGAATGTTCTGGAGTTGTGGGGTAAGACACAGCCAGGATGAGTCCCAGCTCAGTGCTGTCCCTGCTCTGAGGTGTACAGTTCCAACAGGAGCCCAGAGTGGGGCACTCAGCCCAGGCCAGACACTGAGCATCGCAGCACAGCTCCAGACACTTCCTTGGCTTTAGCTGCCAGCCTCTTCCCCTCTGGCTCACTCCCCATTCCATGCTTGCTCCTTCTGCACTTCAGAGGCACAGGGCAGCAGTCAAAAGCTGTGCCCTTTGCCCCTCAGTGCTCACACCCCTGGGGCCTCACCTCAACCTTGTCACCCTGCTGGAAGGGAAAGTCAGCCTTCCTGTCCTCCTCCCCCCATGTGCCATCCTCCTTGGAGTTGCACACGATGGTGTTGACATCCCCGTGGCAGTCAAAGCGAGGGTTGAAATGCAGCATGAGGTTGTAGCTGTCCTTCCCGACATTCACAGCAAACCTGGGGAAACACAGCCAGTGCACAGGGGGTGCCAGTGCTGACAAGCTCAACACAGCAGGAGCTCTGGCTTTCCCCAGTGCCCCAAAAACCCATCTGCCTCCTCACTCACCCTTTAGCATCATCCTCGATCTTCCCTTTGACCTTGATGCACTCACCAGGTGTGACATCCAGCTGAGTAACAACCAGTCCCTGCAGGGCCAAGCCACAGGAATTAGTCTATCCCAAGGCAAGGCTTCCAAAGGGCACAAAGCAGCTCTGGCAGACCCAGAGTGCTAGAGTGAGTCAGGCCACCTGCCTGTCCCACAGGCATCTCCCACTCCCCTAAGCAGCATCTGGTGACAAGGAGCTGAGGTGGGTTGGCCCTGGCTGGAGCCAGGTACCCACCGAAGCCACTCTGTCGCAGCCGGATGGGGGGAGAAAATACAACAAAAGGCTCATGAGTTGAAACAAAGATGGGCAGAGGTCACTCACTGATTACTGTCACAGGCAAAACAGAATCAACTTGGGAAAATTAATTAAATGTATTACTAATTTAAATCAGAGCAGAAAAATGAGAAGTAAAATAGGCCTTTAAAACGCCTTCCCCCACTCCTTCCCAGGCTCTACCTTTTCCCCTTCAGTGGCACAGGGAGGCAGAGAAGGGGATTTACAGCCAGTTCATCACAGGGTGTTTCTGCCCCTGCTCCAGCAGAGGAATTTGCCCCTGCTCAGTGTGGGTCCATCCCTCCAGTGTGAGTCCTCCATGTGAGCTACAGCTCTTCACCAGCTGTTCCAACATGGGTCACAGCCTTCTTCAGGCATCCCCTTGCCCTGCCTAGGATCCTCCCTGGGCTGCAAGTGGCTTTGTGCCTGCCTGTTGACATCCGTGGGCTGCAGAGGGACAGCTGCCTCGCCATGGCCTTCACCACAGGCTGCAGGCTGTTATCACAGAGGCACTCCTGCTATCACTGATGCCTCGGCCCTGGCCAGCACTGTGTCCGTCCTGGAGCCTGCTGGCCTTGGCTCTGCCCGACACAGGGAAGCTTCTGGCAGCCTCTCACAGGAGCCGCCCTGGCAGCCCCCTCTGTTACCACAAGCTGGCCACTCAGGCCCAGCGCAGAGGTGATTCACCAGCTGCTACAGGAGCCGTGTGCTGAGCTACTTACCCCTGTGCCTGTCAGGTAGGGAGGCAAACTGCAAATGAGCTCACTTGGGCACTACCCCCAGCCCCCTGACGCTATCCCTGCCCTCCTGCCTGCTCCCTGCTCTGCCCACACACAGCCTGCTCAGCTCAGGGTTCCTCGAGTCACTTATCCCCACGGCACTAACTCTGCCTCCTGGCTCTGGAATGCAGCCGCTGGGCCCGAGGGGGGCTTTCGAGGAAACGGCTGGGTTAGGATACACTGCCAGCCTGCTTTCCTCTCCTGTTGCATTGAGTTAACCCACTCCTGCACCCAAAAGGCATTTTTCCAGAATAAAAAATACATAGATTAAGGAAAAAAATTATAGAGTCTGGAAACTGTAGAGTTACAAATGGGCCCAAACCTTTAGAGTACTTGAGAATATAAACATTCCTCAGCTCCCCCATTTAGATAACATGCTAGAGAAGAGGAGAAGAAACACGGCTGGTCAGCCCTAACTATTCCTCCCACAGCTATGTATCAACCTTGCATTTGCTCTCAATTAATCCTCTTCTACCTCTGGCACCACGCCCAAAACCCACAGGCAGCCCAGCCTAGTCCCAGTCAGGCTGAGCACATCACCGCGGCACTCACTTTCTCCATGCTGCAGACACCAGCCCCAGCAGGCAGACAGCCCCGAGCCCCTTAGCCGAGCAGCAGTGACGCAGCGCCCGGCTCCGGCAGCTTAAGTGGCTCGGGCAGCACCATCACATGATCGGGGGGAGGTGGAGAAGGGCATGGATTGATCAATCCCAGCTGCTGCGGCCGGGGCTTCCCAGCCATTCACAGGGGGCAGCGGGAGATCTCTATTGACATTATTCTTTGCAGGCGGTTTGTCCATGATTTTCAGAACTAGTGATTGTTTGCTTCTGCGTGATCCTAGAAATCCTTACTGTAAGCTCTCCTAGCTGCTATGCAGCGTCTCTTGGCTCCTATCCCGGGAACCGGAGTGCTGCTCTGTGCTAGGAGCGAGATCTGTGTCTAAAATCAGGGTTGGGAGTACTCGTGTTCCTGCTGCCAAGTGGCTCCTCTGTGCATAGGGGTGGATGTGCTCTCCCAGTCCAGCCCAGTGACTGGGGGGAGACCCTGGGTACAAAGCCTGACTGCTTGCAGGTCAATGAAATGAAAAATGGAATTAAAGCCGAGGGCTTGGTACAGCCCATATCAGCATTTCAGCGGTGCCTAAAAGGTTAAGGTTGGCGGTGTGGAGCTCTAAGTAGATGTGAGAATTCAGGCTGTGGCTTTTGAAAAGTAGCACGGTCTCGCTGGTTCCATTCCAGTTGCAGAAGGCTCCGGAGGGAAAAGAGAAATGCTTTGTTACGGGAGGAGGAGGCGGGGCAGGGCTGTGTGCAGGGACAGGAGAGGAGGCTGCTATCCCAGACGGTGCCCAGCTCCTGCCATTCCCGGGTCCTGTGCCCCCAGAAAGCACAGGGCAGGCCTGCCCCGAGGCTCTGTGCAGGGCAGGGAGGTGAAGGGGGAGCGGCTGCAGCGGGCCGTGTCACTCGTTCGGCTTGTACCTTTGCGTGAGCTTTAGCAGAGTCCTCAAGCCACTGTGCCTCAGTTTCCCTGAGGCCTGAAGTGAGGCTAAGGACGCACAGCTTCCCAATCCTGCCTGTAAGCCCACTATATAAGCACAATGTGCTACTTGCTGAGCGGTGACCAGCCCGGGCACCTCACAACACAGTGCGGGAATTCGTGGCTGCCTGGTGGTGGGAAACATGCTGCCCTGCTGCAACTTCATTGGAGCTATTAAAGCAACAGCATCCTGACTCCTGATGCCATCCTTTGCCCCAGATATCCCCCATACCCATTTCAGAACATTCCCGTGGCATTTCAGCCAAGCTGATCTGCGTTTGAACTAAAAAGTCACAAGCTCGGATTGCAGCCCTGTGACTGGGGTGCATAAAAGAGGACAAAATGCTGACTGAAAGTGCTGCAGGGAAAATCCAGGACATCGCCTCCAGCTAACTCCCTGGCCATCCTGTGCACACCCAAGAGCCGTGCAGAAGTCAGGAGTTAGCTGTGGGAGCAGAGTTCATGCAGATAGCAAATGCCACTGAGAGCAGGCCCCCTCCACGGAGAGTTTGGAGAAATCCCAACTAATTCCACCTTAAGTTAGCCCCCTTCTCCAGCGGTGTTAGCCAGGATCACGTGTGAGGGACGGGCTTTAGGCGCCTGAGTTAGTGTGCAGTTGTTCCCCGGCCGCTGGCACGCGTGAGGGATTGAGCAAATTCTGTTTGGTCGGTTGGGTTTGTGTATTTGTTTTCCTTTCAGCTCTGTGAAATCCCTGGAGACTTGTGTCCTCCTTTCAGTGCTAGGCCCTCTGACTCCCGAGATGCACATTTCATGTGGGCTGCTCCTCTATCCTTCAGACAGTGAATTACCTTTCTAATAACACGGGGAGACTGCACAGTTTGTTGTCCTTGAGTGCTCTGCACTGGTTGGTTTGGTAGCAAAGCCTTTGGTCTTTGGATTTAAAGCACTCCTTGTCGTGAGCCTTGTGAAATCAGCAAGATGTTTGTTCTGGGGCTACACTGCTGAGTTGCTCCATTGTCCTGCATGTTTCTCAGGCATTAAGTGGGAGAAAAATGGGGGACACAATGGGTGTCTTTGCCCTTCAGAGAGCTGGTAAAGGAAGGCGGGCTGCCAAGCAAGGCCACATTGGGCAATCCCACCCATCAGGGATGATCCCAGCCTCCATGCACAACGTGAGGCAAACCACATCTTCAACTCCTGCAGGGAGGGACTCATGCACCCCCAGTCCCCGTGCACCCACAGGAGGCAGGCAGAGGGCTGGGCTGTGTTTCAAAGGCCTGGGGGAGAAAGGGAGAGGCACTGTCCTATGCAAGCCCCTCTCACTCCCCAGGTCCAGCAGGGGATGTTCTGAGAAGAAACCCTGGGCAGAAGAGGCCAGGGGAGCCCTGCCTGGGTTGTTACAAGGCCCAGAGAGAGAGTAGCAGGGCACACACGGTGCAAGTGTTCCCATTTCAGGTGTCACAGCTCTCTACCTGCTTTTGGAGAAGAGTGTTGCACCCACCTGGCAGCTGGGAGAGAAGAGTCATCTCCCACTCATCCCGAGGTGATGTGCAGAGGAATTTTTGGCTATGGGGAAAATGAGGGTTGGCTTCCCAGTGCTTGGCCTTGCAGGCTTGCTTATGGGTACAGGGTCCTGCCCAGCACCAGGTGTCCAGCCCAAAGTCTTCAATCACCTCTTGGTTTGCACAGGCTGAAGGCAGACAGCTGGCCAGTCAGATTTACTTGTAACTCCCTAGAAACGTCCCAGATCTGCTTCAGAAGCAAAGGGTGCAGCATGCTGAGCGTTACTCTTTTTAATCTCCTGTGACAAAATCTACACCCTAGCCACCGGCCAAGTCGTATTCCTGGCTAATCACTGCCAGGAAATCACTTAGAAATGGCTTTCCCCTGGTTTGGGAAGGTCTGAGGACATGGCTGCTGCTGGCTCCCTCAAGGAGCAGGGTGTGGCCGGGCTGCAGAGCCTGCTGGCTGCTCAGTGCCCGTGCCCGGTCTGTCGTGCACTGAGCCCACACACGCTGCTGGCTGTTGGTGTCCCGAGTCGTTCATGGCTGCAGCTGAGAAAGAGCCCCCACTTCTTGCAGAAGGAGCGAGCAGAAGCTTTCTGCTCCTCTGGAAAGCATCCGGCCCTGGGGCCAGCACAGCAGCTCTGTGCATGCACCACCCTGGGGGGGCACCGTGCTTCAGCCACTGTCCCTCCATCGCCAACACTGACCAAGCAGGGACAACTGACCCAATCCAAGCGCTGTGCTGGTAAAATAATGACAAGAGAAAGCCCTCACCCTTTCCTGGTGTGGGACAAAGCTTACAGTTTGCTTTAAGTCAGGGTTTGTTTTTTCACTTTCTGTGGGGAAGGTTTGTTCTTGTCTCTCTAAGTTCGTTCTCAGTTCATCAGGCAAAGGCTGTGTCTTTCTCTCGAGCTGGCTTTAGGGAATATTTGTGTCAATACTGTCTGGATGGGGTTCTGTTCTCAGCAACAGCCCCTGGTTACTCCTACAACCCAAATATTATTTTATTGCAGCATAACAGATACATACATTGTATTTCTATATATACGTACAGGCTGTTTTCTCTCTTGGAATAGCTGGGGACTTGAACTTCAGCACTTCTCTACTTCTACTGTTGAAGTGTCTGGTTCTCTCTGCTGCTACCACAGCACATCAGTTTGTCTCATCTGAGAAGTTTCTGTCTTTTTGCTTGGGTAGTCATGAACTCCTGAAAAGTTTAGTTGCACACAGTTTCCTTGGGCCTTTCTGGAGAGCTGGCTAAAACAATGCTCTCGCCACCAGGGTGTCTTCCAGCCCCGTGCTGTCCTTGGGATAAACTCTGGGCTCAGCTGGATACCACAGAGGAATAGAGCCAGACTTCCAGGAAGAAGTGCTCTTTAGAGACAAAGTGATTTAAGGAGCCACAGTGTGGCAGGAGGGTGAGAGGTGCTCCCAAAGCTCTGCCTCACACGGAAGTTTGTGCCAGGAAGGTCCAGTCTGCACTGGATACCAGCTGGGGCTGCATGGCCACATGCCACTACAAACTTTTTATCCCTGAGGGCTTCCTGATTTCAGCTTTCCCTACATTGAAAGAGAAGCACCTCTATTCCAGGTTAATTATAAATTAAGTTAATTATAAAGAACTTCTTGCACTGTCACAAAGTGATGAAAGGAGTTGGTTGATTGTGTCACTGGAATTTAAAGTATGTTTCCTTATTTTATTTCCCTCATTAACACTGACCCAAGCTGATAATCCGTGTGATTGTGTCATCTCTCAGTGGATTATATTTAACTAGAGCAAATTGTTAACTACCCAGGAGAACTGGGCCTTTGTTTTGTTGGACTCAGTTCACTTTGGCACCTCCCTCCTTTAGCTTTCAAGTTTGCAGGCGTCAGACACCTCACCTCAGAGTTTACTGCCAGAGTTTTCTACAAACAGCTGACAGGAGCTGTTTGCATTTGTTCCTCACTAGATGTCAAGTTAAGAATGCAGGTCCCTCTTTGCCTCCCCTTTGCAGGTCAGCAGAGATCTCAGTCAAGCAGCTGTTGCAGTGGGAGCTCCTAGCAGAGCCCAGGGTTAGTGACCCCTCGAGTTTCCTCCAGGTCTGTCACCTCAGGCAGCTCTAAGTGCTCATTTGTCTTAGCAGCACAGCTGTTTACTTTACATCTATGACTGCACTGCAAACTTGTGCAGCAGGGAACAGACCCTGGAACACTTTTTACCAGGATGTCACAGCACGATAGCAGCACTTCCCAAACCTTACATGTTCCTGTGGACTAGACCTAGACAATCAGGGTTTGATTTTGACCTCATGTGGGGGCTGAAGATAGGGACCTATGGATATTCCTATCCTTAACCCGCTGAATAAAACCTGTACAGGCCTTGAAGGTGTCCACATGGTGGACAGGAGGTCAGGCAAGGTAAAAGGGAGTGCACCTGCATTCCCTCCACAGGGGAACTCCAGCAGTAGAGCTGGAATCTGGGCCCCATGTGAGTGAAAAAGGCATCATCACTGGAGCAAGCTGTCTGGGCAGCTTTCATCTTGAACAGAGGTGGCTGCACCAGGCTGAGGTTCTAGCCTTTGTTTTGTTTCCTCTTCATAAATCAGCTTTTATTACATCGTGCCACCTGTAAAGTTAAAGCTCCTGGGGC